AAAGCCCCTCAGCTTCCTTAGATCCTATCCTACCGCTGTTCAGCAATGGGCTGACCTCACATTTAATGTTTGAGTTACTGTGCCCCGGGAAGAATGTCTTCAGTATGCTTTGGGAGTCACAGGTTGGCTGTCACCTGCTCTCTACAAGGATGTTCCTGGTCTTGGCAGCCCTGGGATTATAGAGAGACTCCAGGGCAAGAGATGACTCCAGGGAGTCTAGGACTGGGCCTGAGCAGTCCTCTCTTTCCACCACAGGAAGGCCTGTTCCTAGTGGAGGTGAGTTGCTTTATCCTGAGATTTGTAGGACAGTGTGTCAGCCTTTGTTTGTTTTCTAATCCCAAATCAGTTGCTTGGTACTGATTGTTCTTAGATGAACTGAAGTTGGGAGTTTTCCCAGGAAGCCCGTGTTGACCTTTACCTGACCTTCCTTGGACCCCTGCCGCTCTTTAACGTCTTTTGTTTTGTAACCTAAGTTATTGGGGACATTTTTATGAAGAAGGAACTTTGTGGCAATTTTAAGAGCCTCAGAGCAGGCTCTGAAGCCCTCCCCCACCCCCTAAACACCCACACCTCTGTAGACGCCTGGGGGTGGGGGGCTGAGCACAGCTGTTCCAAACCTTGGCAAACCCTCAATAAACTACTCATGTGGCTCTTAACAAGCTTTTCTGTGTACACGCTATAAACAGGTAATTAGAATTAATAGCCTTAATAATAAAAATAATTTCTTTTAAACCTAAATTTTCATTTTCTTTCTCCCACCAGATAGCACAAAATAAACGTTAAGGTTTCACCGAAACAAAATCTTATTTTCAAAAACCAAGTCGCCTACAGGAGTCCTCAGCAAGAGTCACAGCCATGAGGAAGGAAACTGTATGAACCCCTTCAGGTTTGGGGGTGAGGCACAGTGCCCAGCTATGCCCGTCAATTCCTTCCCTTCATACTTCGGGTAGCTTCTGATGAGAACTAGAGTTTGTGGAAGATAAAGACACTACTGGGTAAAAAAAAGAGGAGAACTTAAAAACAAGTCAGGTGAATATAACATCATCTGCTGAGTGTCAGCGGCCTGGCAAGTACCTCACAAGATGCCTGCCATCGCCCCTATTATATAGACAAAACCTGGGGGCACACGCTGAGGAAAGTATGCCCTGGTCTAAAGGCACACAGCTAGGGAGTGTGTAAGCCAGAGTACAACCCACATCCCAGTGGCTTCTTTCTCCTTCTCTGTACTCTCCCCTCCTTCCCTTAAAAAAAAAAAAATCACACTATTGAAGTGTAACTTACAAACTACAACAGTGACCCATTGAAGTGCACAAACTATAATTCCTAGTGGCTTTACTGCATTGTGCAGCCATTAGCTTGACCTAATTTTAGGCTGCATTTGTCACCTCGGCCCTCCACCTCATGGTGGGTATAATTAACCTGCACTCTTACCCCTGTCCCAGGAACTTACTATTCTGTTGTCTGTTTCTAGAGATTTGTTTTTCGGTCTTTATAATATAAATGGAGTTCTGTACACCTGGCGCCTGGCTTCTTTCACTTAGCGCCATGCTCTTGGTTCATCCATGTAACATATAGTAATGTGTGACTTTTTTTAAAAAAATCCTAATAGGATTCTATTGTGTATGTGCAGATTCATAAGATGACAGCCATCAAATCACCCACTGATGGACATGTGAGTTCTGCCCCGTTTTGGGTCACCAGGTATAACAAGTCTTTATGAGGAAATGGATCCCATTATTTTCCTTGGTTATATACCGAGGTCTGGAATCTCTGGGTCATGTGGTCACTGTGTTCAGCTTTTTCAAGATTTTTGAGGCATTGTTTTTCTAAACGTCACCACCAGCGATGAGTAAGCATTTTAGGTTTTCCACATCCTTACTTTTTTTTCAATCGGGGTCATCCCAGGGGTGGGAATTGTGGGATTGTCACTGTCGTTTTGAGTCCCATCCCCTGAGTGAGAGGGTGCTAAGATTCTTTCCATGTATTCCCAGCTCTTCATACATCATCTATGGAAATCCATCTGCTCCTGATTTTAACAATTCCTTTTTGTCTATCTGTGTGTCTGTCTGTGTGTCTGTGTGTCTGTCTCTCTCATCAGGAAAGGAAAAGATGTGCCAATCTTATTGATCTTTTCAAAGAACTGATGTCTAGCCTTGTAGATTTTGTTTTGCATTTTCCTCTATTCTATTTTATTGGTTTCCGGTCTAAACTTTACGAGTGCCCCCCACCCCTAACCCCACCACCCTTGATGCTGCTTGCTTTGAGTTTAGCTTGCTCTACCTTTCTAGTTTCTTAAGATTCAAAACTTGCTTATTGATATTTTGGTTGCTCCATTTGGAACCTAGGACATTCCTCTGAGGGAGACAGTGGAGTTCCTGGCTTAGCAGGTTCTGGCAGAGTTTCCTCACCTTTACCTTCAGCACTGGGGCTGGAGACAGAAGCACGGCAAGAATGCCACACACACCCAGACTCTACCCGACCTGCTCCCAGCCCGATGGATCCCAGTGACCGTTTTTGGCAGTTTTGTTCAGCTTTCCAGTTGGTTGACTTCCCTCCAGGAGAAATCAAGTCTCGCTTGGGGCCACCTCTTCCTCAGCCTTCCCCTCATAGAGTCTATGCCTTTGGGCTCATGGGACAGAGTTCCTTTAAAAGATACTTGAGCCTCAACATACCATGAGAGTCTGCATTTATAGCAGAGAAATCCAATAGCCCTTCTGATGCAGTCCGACTATTCAAGGGAGGCAGGCACCCTCACAGCACTGCTCTGGAAGGGACGCATGCAGTGGTGTCTGGGGATCCCAGTACACTCTGTCACCTTCTGTGGCTTTGCACTAAGCAGAGGATTTCCCAGATGCATCCTGAAGTGAAATGGCCCAGACTTCAAATCCAGTCTTCTCCTGAAGAGAATTGGCCTCACTTTCTCCTCTCCTGGGGGATGCAGGGAATGGGAGGGAACTAGGGGCAGGAACCCGGAGACCTGGTTCCAGCTCTGTACTTCCTCTTACTGAAGCCCCTCCCCATTTGTAAAAGAGAGCTGTAAGAACATTATTGTCACAGAGTTGCCAGAGGTGAGCAAGTTCCATGACAGTCATTACCGTGCCTAACAATGACTAACATGCTATAAAATAAAGGCTTTCAGTAATGAACTAGCACTCCCTGTCCTGTGTCCCAAGACACAGGGGCTAGAGAAGGGAGCTCTTTCCCCGGGACTCCCCCCATCTCGTCTCTTCTCTACTCAGGAAACAAGATGGCCGCCAAGCATCGGAGGCAACTCCTTCCAGTGTTGGAGACTGCCTCCTGTGAGGGCCATGAAGGGATGAGAGGCATGAGGGATGGAGCAGAGGCTGAGAGGAAGACACAGCTCTGCTTCAACCTTGGGAAATATAAGAACATTTCTAGCCCTGGCCACACCTGTACTTGCTTGTGCCATAGCAAAGCAAGCCTCTGCTGCCTGAGCAGAGGCTGTGAAGGGGCCAGGAGAGAATCCCTGCTGGGTGGTTTTCCAGCCCTATTCTAGCTGTTCACTTTGAGTCACCACAGGCTGACTGCTATTCTCACCAAGCTCACTGGTGCGCTCTAGCAAAGCTGTTATGTCCATAAGACACAGCAAGAATTTACTATCCAGAAAAGGTTCTCAATGCTTTTAAAGTCTGTTATGTGAAGACATTAGGATCTCTCTTAAATTTTCAAACTAGATTTCTGCAAACTCTAGCTTCAGGCTTTAGTTTCTAAGGAAAATAAAGCTATTAATTTCAGCACACACTACTGGTCCATACTGTTATGGTGTGTAAATGAAAGAAATCCTGGATCCTAGGCTGTCTAAATAAGACAGTCTAAAATGTAACTTTGCCTTGTACGGTGGCTTAACATTGATCATCAACTAGGCAGGGTCTGGAATCACTTAGGAGACAGGTCTTAGGGACTGTCTGTAAGGAATATTCTTGTGTGGATTAACTGTGGTAGAAAGACTCCCCCCCCCCCCCCGCCAAACCCTTAACACTGTATGATGCTGTTCTGTGGTCTGGGGTTTAGGAGTGAATGAATCGGGGAACTCGAGTTGAACCTCAGCATTCATCTCTCTGTTTCCCAGTAGCAGATACGATGGTATATGATGGTACAATGACTGCTACTATGATGGATATACCCTTGTGCTGGCTAGTCTTAGGTCAACTTGACACACAAACTAGAGGTATCTAAAAGGAGGGAATATTAATTGAGAAAATACCTCCTTAAGATCCAACCATAGGGCATTTTTTTTAAAAAATTAGTGATCAATGGGACAGGTCCCAGCCCAACCTGGGCGGGTGGTCCTAGGTTCTATGAGAAAGCAGGCTGAGGAAGCCATGGGGAGCAAGCTAGAAGCAGCACCCCTCCATGGCCTCTGCATCAGCTCCTGCCTCTAGGTTCTTACCCTGTGTGAGTTCCTGTCCTGGTTTCCTTTGATGATGAACAGCAATGTGGAAGCATAAGCTGAATAAGCCCTTTCCTTCCCAACTTGGTTTTTGGTCATGGTGTTCAGCTGCAGCAATAGAAACCCTAACTAAGACAACCCTCAAACACTGAGTCAAAGCAAACCACTCCTTCTTTAAATTCCTTCAACAGATATTTTGTTGCAACAACGAGAAATGTAACCAATGTACTTAGCTTTTATTATGGAAACTAGGGAAGTTGCCAAGACCTGCAGAGAAACTGTAGCCACGGAAGTTCTGGAGCAAAGCAGAATTGGATGCTTGAGTTTCAGAGAAACCTCGGAAATCTTGCTCCCTGGGGGTCTTCTTGCATGATGGCATAGCCCCTGCCTCAACACTGTTGTGGCCCCAGTCTTACCTCAACCGCTTTCCATCCCAACCTGCTACTCAGGTCATCTCTTATGGCTCCTTCCCTTCCAGCCACTCTTCATGCCAGCCAGCTCGCTGCACAAGCACCCCAGCCTGTCCCCAACTTAGGAGCTGGCACTGGCAGGGAGTGGCCCAGGGCTAAAAGCAGAGCTTCAGTGTTACCTATTTGCCGTTCCAGATCAGCAGCTTCATCAGGAGTGGCTCGAGGGAGGACTCCAGGGTCGCTGAAGCTGGTCCGAAGCAGAGTCCCCATCACAAAGAAGAACAGGATGCCACCGACCACGGGGATGGCAGGGGTGATTTTCTCTGCGAGGTACCTACAGCTGCCAGCAGGGTGCAGAGAGAAGGGAGAAATGAATTACAATGTTAGGATCCACAGTCAGAGGAGGGAGACCGATTTCTCTTTAAACTCATCTGTGCTGAGAATTTCTGGGCAGGGGAATGAGCCTCAGTCTAAGGCACTAGTCTTACAAATGTGGGGATTTGAGTTTGGATCTCTAGAGTCCATGTAATAGCACATGCTTGTCATCTCAGAACTCCTATAGAAAGAAGGGAGACTGAGACAGGAGGCTTCCCAGAAGCTCAGGGGCCAGCTAGCCTGGCATATTCAGTCCTGAACTAATAAGAGACTCTGTCTCAAATAAAGTGAACAGCGTGAAACAAAACCCCAGACCATCCTTGTAAGGTCTCCACCTGTGAGTGCACTGTGGCATGTGCACATCCACGCCTGCACACACATATACCCACAGAAGAGATGAATTAGAATTTTAAAGAAGAAAATGTAGATTTGGTCTCGTCTGTAGTGCTCTCTCCGACAACTTCCCTCTCCCTTCGACCATGACAGCCCAAGACCCATAAGAGAGATGCTAGCCGACCAGAAAAAAATCCTGCTTGTATAATCGATTTTAGAATGTCTGGAGTTTGAATAAATATACACAAGCCCTTTGCACTGTAAACACACATGGTCCGTGGCCCTATCCATCTCTGGAACCACAGAAGATGATGCCGATTTAGAGACACCTCTATCAGACCCACCAGGGCCAAACAACTCAGAAACTTTCAAGCAGCCTAACATTCACTTGCAAAAACTAAGGAATCACTTGTCAATATTGTGGGGGTCAGTTTGTCCAAAAGAGGGTGCTCTACCACAGAAATGAAAATGCATGGGCATTTCTGAAGGGTAGGGAAGGAGAATTATTGGCTGAGCGACACCAATCCAGGCTTTCCCAGAAAGCATCTGCAGGATCAATTCATGACTGTAATCCAGTTCCTATAATTTCTGTGTTGTTTGTCTTTAAGAGATGGGGTCTGTCTTGGTTCCCCAGTCTGGGCTCCACACTGTGGATCACATTCACCCTCCTGTCTCAGCTTTCCAGGTAGCTGAAACAACAGATGCTCATCACCATTCAACACTCAGTTCTGGGAAATCCTGCTCACCGTTGGACAGAAGAGCGTATGCTGCAGGGACGGTGGCAGTAGAGGAGGGGTGACTTTGACAGACTAAAGTTTGTGCCTTAGACCCAGCACCTGACCCCTGATCTCTTTGGTGAAAGACAAACAAGGTCTGCCGTGGTTACCATTGGTCTCTTGTGGCCACATTAAATGTTGTCATGGGTGTGGAAGAAACACAAACGGCACTGTGGGTCGTAGTGCCTGGTGGGAAAGGACTCCTAGCTGGTCCTCAGAAGCAGAGTCTGGGCTGTTTAGCCAGAGAAGACAGAAGGAAGCTCTGCTGGGAGCAAGATGTGGGTGTGGCTCCCTCCCATCTGGGTACTAGCACCCCACTGTGTGTGGGCCTGTGATGGGATACTGCTAAGAGTTGGCTTTTAAGGGCTACATGACAGGAACTCCTTTGCTGAAGGAGCAAATGCTTTTCAGAATCTTCTGCCTGGAAGAAGCCCAGAGATGCCCCATGACTTTAAGAATATGGTAGGATGGTCTCAGATGTAGTAATGGGGGCTGATTCCCTGCTGGCCATGTGGACTTGTCTCTAGGAAAGCCACCTGACTAGATAAAACACCTGGAGCATTCCCAGTAGCTCTGTAACCACTCCCCAAAACCTCACCAATGGCCCCAAATGTCAAGTCCAACTTGGTTGGCATCCAGTTGTGATGTTTCTTCACAGGATTCAAAACAATCAAAAACAGACCCTTGTTCTTCTTGTACCAACTCCAGGCAGCTATGAGCATCCTCAGGGAGTCTCATAGAAAGTGAACTTGGCAGGGAGAGTGTGAGGATACAAAGGACTTTGCTTAGAAAAAAAAATTTAGAAACTCTGACCTTGAGGAGCTCCTGAATGGGGTGACTGTGTCCCCAAAGTTAGCATGTCAGAAACATAATCTCCAAAGTAACTGTCCTGCAACTTGGGGCTTTGATCAACAAGTAAAGCCAAGGAAATGTTCCTATAAACAGGTTGATGTCACCAGGACGAGTTCCATCCTTCAAGAATGTGTTTACTGTAAAACTGAGGTCAACCCTCTTTTGATTGCCTTTTCTCTTCTGTCTCAGGGAGATGCAGCATTTAATACAAGGAGGCCCCTTGACCTTGGCTTTTCTGGCCTCCAGAACTGTGGAAAATGAATCTATGCTCTTTTCAAATTACTCAGTCTCTGACATTCTGTAACAGCATCATGAACTTGACAAGAATATCTCTTTGGAAAAAAAAATATTCATTCGCATCACAGAAATGCATCTTCAATTCAGTTGGTACTGGCTGTGCGTGAAGGCGCTCTGTGCTTCTCTCCAGAGGGTCTAGGCAAAAACTGGCATCATTAATACTTATTAGTGAACTTCCACCTTTCTCCAAATGTTTGATTTTATGAGAGTTAGCACTGGAAAGCTTCAAGTTCAATACTTAAGGACTGAGGGACTCTACAACCAAGCAAATAGCAATTCTCTTATACTCCTGAGAATGCAGAGAGAATATTTTCCTGGTACGCAGATCTACTGAAATGCCCCCCCTCCCCACACACACACTTCCATTGCGTGTAGGCCTGGGGTCCAGGGTCTAGCATGGAACTTATATTTCAACTTGAGACATGAGGATGTCTCGTCAAAAACGACTGTGTTCTCATTAGAGATTGACTATGAAACAACCAACAGAATCTGAGCCCACATGTGTGAGAGGTCTGGTGGATGATACCTTTTGGGGAGTGTTTTAGCTTTGTTTCGTGTTCCTGTGATAAAAAATACCCTGACACAAGCAACCTAAACAAGAAAGGGTTTATTCGGCTCCCAACTGCGAGCTACCGTCAGTTGTGATGGGGACCATGAAGGTGGCGGGAACTTGAAACAATTAGTCATATTACATTCATAGTCAAAAGTAGACAGAAATGAATTAATGCACACTGCTGATAGGAAGCACGCCCTCATTTAGGGCAGGTCTTCCCGCTTCAATTAATCCAATTAAGAAATCCCTTCAAGGCAACAGGCAGGCCCATGGGTCAACTTAATTTAGACAATGTCTCCTTGAGACTCTCTTCCCAGTAGATTCTAAGTCGTGTCAAGTTGACAATCAAAACCAGCCACCACAGGGAGCCTGTTGAGCACGTCCACGAGACACCTAAATTCAATTGCTTCAAGTCCAGACCTTGGACTGTGTCAACTCCTTGGGAGTAATAAGGAAGGGACTCAGATCTTGGAGCTCATTAATAGCACACTTCATATCATGCAGATGTTGGCTCTGTTTCTTTTATTGTCATTTTAAAAGCAAACATGTGTTAAGCCTTGAAAATGCGGCAGTGTGTAGCCCCCCAGAAATAAACCATCCATGGTAAATCCAACCAAAGCAGACCAGTGTTAAACTTGCCAACGTTGACTGTATGTGTCCGTTATGTGAGAGGTCCTTATTCTTAGGAAATGTACACTGCAGTATTCAGGAATAAGGTATCATGAGGTATGCAGTCATCTTTCAAATAGTTTAGGGAAAGTATGGCGTAGAGAGAGAAGATGGAACAAATATTTATTGGTAAATTTGGGTAAAAAGTGGATATATGTTATCATTCTTATTATTGCAATTACGATGTGCCCTCTAGTTTGCTGAGGCCTGTAACTCCCTTCATGTGGGCTCTGAGGAGCTGCCCTTCTGTGTGCCTTCCTCAGAGAAGACAAGAAGAGAATATTCCATAGCTCACTGAACTACTGTGTGTCAGGTACACAGTCTGTAAGCATTTGCCAGGCCCTTTGGGATCCTCCACGCTCCATGCTCTAGGAGATGAGGTCTTTAAGTCAGCTCAGCTGTATGAGATAGTGAGCATCTGGTGACAGCTGTCCTTTTTCACCTCTGTGCAACCAAGGACAGTGCTCAGTTCTCTTGGGAAGTCCCCGTAACCCCTTTATCAAAGCTGTAGGATCCATGCTTCTAAACGATGACATCTGTGTCAGGGAGACAGCTTCAGACTGAAGTTCAGAAGAAGCTGAGAGCATCTATAGTCCAGCAGACTCTGCCTTTGATTGTGACTGTGAATATGGAATTCCGGGAGGAATGAGGCTGGGTGGGTCCCTTGCCAACCCTCGGCAACTGGCAACATTGGTTCAACTATGAGCAACTTAGAAATTCCCAGTCTAAGCTCAGACCCCTTGGAAACAAACAGCTCCTTCACATCCTGTGCAACAGTGCCCTGGGCTCCACTGAGCACCATCTGCGGTGTGTGCAGCCTCCGCCTCTGAGGGCCTGGATTTCATACAAGATGATGATACAGCTGCCAGAGATATAAACACCATTTGGAGTCCTATTTCTGTCTCCAGAATTGTGACCTACATACAGCCCAGGGCAGCACAGAAGACAGCAGACAGGCATCTCCGTCTTCATAAAGCTCAATTGGAAAGTGACAGGAGAAGACAGGGTGAGCATGAGGGAATGAGATTCTGAAAGCATTCGGGGTTTTTTTTGGAACATAAAAGATATTAGCTAATTTGGCACCAGACAAAACAAATGCTCAAATAATGAGATACCTTCACTCCAGCCGTGAACAGCAGCGAGAGCTGTCTGACTCCTGATGGTGCAGGTATACAAATACCTGTGTACAGAGTGTCACCATGTACACTTCGGGGAAGAAGAGGCTGCCAGGAACAGGTAGAAGGGGGGTGGCATTGCCACTCAGCTCTTTTTTATTATACAGCTCTGTTTTCTGTTCTTGCAGCGATTTTGAATTTTTGGTTGCGAGCCTAGCCTTTAATGGCTGAGCGGTCTCTCCAAACCTCTAATAGCAATTTTAATAACTATTCGGGGGAAAATATTTGTGGGTGTTTTGATGTTTATACATGAAAAGTGGAACCGTCTCCTGGGTGTGATATTATCTGAGACTATGAAATCAGAGGATTT